GATTTAATATCTATTTGACGGCGAACCCACGTTCTTGAACGCAAGTAACGAGAAAGACGAGTCGGAGAGTTTCAAGCCGGGTAGTAGGTGAGAAGATTTCTTGATAGTCGACTCCAGCTACCTGAGAGTAGCCCATGGCAACAAGTCGGGCTTTGAGTTTGTCCAACGGTACCGCTCAGATATGTTCGCTTTAACCTATGAATACCCACTTGGACTTGATGATGTTACGCTTCGCAGGACGGGGGACAAGTTTCCACGTCTGCATACCAATAAGAGTCGAGAATTCAGTATCGGCGGCTTTAGCCACTTATCTTTGTTTGGCGATCGAAGAAGTTGCTTCCAAGTACGAGGGGTGTCAATGTCGTTTTCTTTACCGTCAGCCAAACCAGCCCAGTTACCAAGGCGAACAGGAGGCTTCGATGTGCGCTGCGAACGACGAGTTGGAGGTTGAGTTGGTAGTACCTCTTTCTTCTTCCTAGTGAGGCGCTTGGCTGGAGCAGTCGGTTTGGAAGACGTTGTAGGAGGTCCAGATGGCGACACATTAGGATCTACTGGTTCAGACGGTTCAGGCGATGGTGATGGTGGCAGAGGAGTAGGGCTGGATGGTTGTGGAGCCGGAGAACTATGCTGATTCGATGAGGCTTCGGTTAACGGAGGAGGTTGCCTTAACCTAATCGGAGAAGCGGGCGGGACGACAGTTGGGAGAGACATGCGAGGAGAAGAAGGTGGTTCAGGCGAGGAGGGTAAAGATGGTGTGGATGTGTCAGACAACGAAATAGGAGACGCTGGAGGTGTTTTGATTGGTCTTCGCTTTGGAGCGTGGATAGAATTTGATAAGCGCCTTTCATGAAGAGCACGACGTTGCCCATCAGTGAGGGGTGGTGAGATAGTTTGAGAGAAATGGTCAGGCCATGGGATGTCGGCTTCAATAATCGATGGCCGAACAGGGGTCAGAGTAGACGAGTATGGAAATAGATCATGTCTGAAAATTACATCCCTAGACTTGACGACTTTCTTGTGGCGAAGATCCCACAGACAATAACCATTACCATCAGGGAGATAAGACAGAAGCACGGATACATTAGCTTTAGCGTCCAACTTCTTCCTGTTGGCTTCAGGTATTTTGTAGTAAACCTGACACCCAAATGGGTAGAGATTTGTGACAGAATCATCAGGGAGGGATAATAACGAGTTAGGCGAACAAAAGCCTGAAGGGGTGTGGCAAGGAACGGAGTTGAGAGTATGTGTGAGGTATTTCAGAGCATCAGCCCAGAAAACTTTTGGCATACCAGCACTGATGAGAGAACACCGAATGTGATTTCCAATCGTACGATTAGATCGTTCAGATACTCCATTAAGTTGTGGTGAATGAGGTGGGCCAGGGTTATGGACAATACCGTTATCACAAAGGTACATCTCCATTGCTTTGCTGAGATACTCTCCTCCATTGTCAGTACGCAGGGCTTTGATATTACAAGAAGTTAAGTTTTGAAATGAGGAGCAGTAGGCTTTAAAGCATCCGAAGACTTCAGATTTCAGTTTGAGAGGATAGATTGAGGTATGTTTAGAAAAATCATCGATAAAAGTGACAAAGTATTTAAAGCCTTCACGTGAGACAGTTTCAAAGCTAGCTACATCAGAGTGGACTAAATCTCCAGGATTTGTTGAGCGATAGGGACTTCTGGAATGGAATGATAGCCGTGACATTTTTCCTTCGACACAAACAGGACACCGTTGCACATCAATTTCGTTTAAGATGGACGGTACAATTTGTTGGGATTTCAGAAGTGCCTTGAGGGGTCGTATTCCAATGTGGCCTAATCGAGTATGCCAGTCAAAGAGACTGATATCAGCCTTACTTGCAAAACAGGAGGTGGATGATGAATTATCTACCTTTTCAGGTAAGTAGTATAGATTACCGCGTCGTACTCCTTCTCCAACTGGCTTAGAGAGGGTAGGATCCAAGTCGGCATTGTAAATGTTACAACCCTTCTTAGTAAAGACAACAGAGAATCCATCATCACACAACGACGACACTGATAGGAGAGGCTCCTGAAGATCAGGAACTAAGAGCGATTTATGTTCTGAGAGGCCGGAAATAGCTAGATCCG